CCAGCTGCCAGTCACTGTCAGCTCCATGGATCCCTGGTAATGGATCAGGTTCAGGCGACAGTTAGGGAATCGATGGAGGAATTAAAACATGTTCTCACCATTCCTTCTCCCTTGTCATCTCCATACTGGCAAGAAGTGCAGCAGATCACAGAATCTATCATCATTTTGCCTTTGTAGCTCCCAAAATTCATAATTAACAAAAAATTTCTATTCACTTGCTCATGTAATTTAATTAGTTTTCCATTAAAGAGAGACTAAGTATCATCTATTCCCCAACAGAGCAAATAATTGTTTGCCATTCTCTTAGAAATTATCACCTGCTTATTGTAACTCTCCACATTCATTAGGTGCCTTGGAGGAGCAGTGGGAAAAAGGTGGCAAAGAACTGGAGGAGGTATTGAGAGAGGGTGGCAGGGCCAAGGCTGCCCTGGGACCTTCCAGGATGTCCCTGTTAATCCCAGTCTGGGGATTCCCAGCATCCAGTGCTGGATCCATCCTGCTGCACCCTGGGGACTCTGGCCACTGTGTCCACATCTGGCTGGGGTTGCTTGAGGATCCTGGTGTTGCCAAAGAATGGGATGGGGCTGGGGACAGGAATGGGGACAGACACACTGGGCAGTATTGGGATCACTGCTAGTCCCCCCAGTCTCCAGGCAAAGCTGGGAAGTAGCCCCTGCCAGCACAGCTCCAGGGCACAGGGGCTGTTTATCTGGAGCCCAGGAGAGATTAATTTACAGTGGGATTCCCAGCATCAAATGCTGGATCCATCCTGCTGCACCCTGGGGGCTCTGGGCACCACATCTGCCTCCAGCCAGGGTTAATTGTGGATCCTGTCATTGCCAAAGGGGCAAGGACTGGGATGAGGATGGGGACAGGGCTGGAAACAGCCACACAGATCCATGCTGGGGTCACTGCCAGCCCCCCCCAGTCCCCAGGGAAAGTTGGGAAGCAGCTCCCTGCCAGCACAGCTCCATGGCACAGGGGCTGTTTATTTGGATCCCAGGAAAGATTTAATTTACAGTGGAAATCTCTCAAGCAAATACCTCCCTTGGAGGAATAAACCTGTTTAAAGAAACAATTTTCTCTGCATTCAGATGAAGCTTTTAACGGTTTGCTGCTGCCATGGCCCAGAGCTGGCACAACTCCGGTGTGGGATGGGAGCCAAGAGGGGTCTGTGCTCCCCTGGGTGCAGCTGGGAACAGAGGGGAACTGTCCTCAAATCCCCCTGGATGTTCTGCTGCCAGCACAGGGAAGTTTCCTTCAAACACCCTATTTTGGTGTCAGGAGAGGGTTTGGTGTACATGGGGAAGTGATCCCACCTGGCTCCTCCTGCCCTGGGGATGGAGAGCTTGGCCAGAGTGGATCCAGCTGGTCTTGGAGCTGCAAGGGATGAGCAGAGAGGTCATGTCCCCATAGCTGGTGACCCCTGTCATGGCCATGGGGGACAAGGGACATCCCCTGTCACCCCACCATGGGAGTGGGTGGACTCATCCCCAGGAGATGGTCCTCTCTCACCTCCATCCCAAAGGGTTGGAATAGGGGGCAAAGCCAGACACAGGGATGAAGGATTTGGGATGAGGCTCCAACATCACCATCACAAGGGGTGTTGGGGAAACTGAGGCACAACAGGGCTTGGTGGCAGCTCTGGGTGCACATCCAAGCACAGATCCTCACAGCTACTTCCCCTCCCCAGGAATGAATTACATGGCCCAGATTTAATTTACTTTCCTCATAATATTTCCTCTAGAACTTTAGTCATTGAGGGTTTTTCCCTTGCACAAACCCCTAAAAGCCAAGGGTTGGTGAGTGTGGAGTGTAGGGTTCCAAGCAAAGCAAAGCACAAAGTGTTGGGATTGTTTCCCACCCACTCACAGATGAAGTTGTCTCCTCTCCTCCCAGGGAAGCTCTGTGATGTGCTTTATTGACCTTTTTTTAATCTAAAATTGATTCTTTGCAAAACTCTACCTGGTCGAGAGCCAGGCAGGATCTCAGCACCACTGACTGGGACTTTTTCCATTCCCATCAGGGCATTTTGCCTTCCTTTGGGGATTTTTGGAGCTGAAGGGAGGGTTGAGCTGAGTGGACCTTCCCATCCATGGCCAAGGAGATGCTGTGGGGCAGTTAGGTCCTTGTCTTTGTTTGATCCATGGGGTGAAACCAATCCCTTTGCTCCAAGCTTCTGCTGTGCTTAAATCCCCAAGGAGCCCACAAGCTTGATCCTGGAGATGCGTCTGCACCCAGATAACCCCCAGGAACCTGGGACATCTCTTCCCATGGGATGGGGTTGATGGGACATCTCTCAGATATTATGAAGCTAGGTGGACTGGGAGGGATGGAGTCAAGCTCACAGGGGGAATGTTCCAGAGCATCCAGGTCACAGGTAGAATCCTTGGCAGACTGCATGGATGTGTGGGAGCACACAGAACTGGTGGAGGTCACCAGGGATGTGTGGGTCCTGGCAAGCTCAAGTGGGTTTGGACCACACACACACAAATGCATCTGTACAGCTGCATCCTTCAGCTCCAGCGTGGATGCTCTACCACCCGAGGGTGTGTGGGGCTGCTCTAGGAGATGCTTCCTTAGAAACATCAGTACTGAGGGTTAAGAAATCACAGAAATTAAAAGCAGCAAACTGTTCTCAAGTCCTTCTGCCAGGCAGCATTTCAGCCAGAGGTTTCTAAAGCGCTGGGAAAGCAGCATCCCGGTGATTCCCTGCGCTCTGCGATGCCCCTGAAGGTGTGCTGTGAAAACAGAACAAAGGCGACCGGGTGGGTGGTGGGGAAGGGCCATGTTTGCACCCACCTCCTTGCCCAGAGCTGCCAGCTCTGACCTCCCGGCTCGGGAGACTTGGTTGTCGCTGCCCCTGCCCAGCGCTTGCCCCCGGCCCCAGCCGCGTGTGCCGGCTCAGGGCTCTGCGGGGGGACCTGGGGAGGTTCCTGCAGGGCTCGGCCATCTGTCCTCCCCGCAAACCCAGCTGCTGCCCTGGCGTGGCCACCCCAGGG